GTCAGCTCTCCAGTGGGGCTGAGGAGAGGACGGGATCCCAGAGCTGCGGGATTTCACTGCCAACTTCAGAGGAAGCTTATACCTCCTGCATTATGTAGGCCATGTCTGTTTGTGGACTGACGCAGTCTCCCTGTGCTCCGCCGAGTTCTGCAGTGAGCTTGGGAACCCCGACGTGCCCACCACCTGTGTTCTGTGCTAAATGCGTGGCTAGAAGGTGCAGGGGCTCTCTCTGCATATGCACACTTTCATCCTCCAGACTGGGATGGACTCTGCCTTGTCTTCCTTACTCGCTCCTCCGTGGCCCAGCCTGCTCAGGTGCCTCAACATTGGGACAAGTGACATACGCTCATTTCCCTCAGCAGCCTGAGCCTGCTCCTCCTGCACCTCAGTGGCTGTGCTTTTTCTGAGAGCAGTGACCATGGCGGAGGGCGTGAGCACAAAGATGAAACAGATGCCCCTTCACCCGCCATGCTCTGGGGGCCTGCACTGGCCCTGTGTGTCCTGCAAGCCTGCTGCCCAGTGCCTCCGCGAAGAGCTGGGCGCTTGTGTGAGGACCGTGTGGAGCACCGTGTGGGAGCTGCGCACCCCGCCACTACCCGGTGGCGCCCATCCGGGTCTCTGGCCTCCCAGTCCCATAATGCACCTGAGAGAAAGGAGGCACAGGGACCCCAGGTGGCACTCCATGCAGCCATCAGCACAGCTAATCGCGTTGTTCTCCACTGTGCGTTCAACACAGGAATATGCAGACATGAGTTTTTGCTCTAATTATGTGCCGGCAGGTTAAAGTTCAAAACAGCATCTGCTAACTTCGAGTGTGGCCACCTTGAAAACGGTAATCATGGGTTCCTGGGTGGGACATTTTCTGTGGCTGGGCCCTAGAGCTCAGCCTCCTGCCCAAGTTGGCCCCAGGACGTGAACGTGTTCCCCAGCACTCACGACCGCCTGGCGCTCTGGGCAGCACCACTCATAACAGGGCCACGCAAACACAGGGACAGCGCAGCAGGAAATGAGGCCTGGGCGGGGCTCGTGCTGCCCCTGCTCAGTGACATTAAAGTGAGTATTATAAAGATAATTCTGTCAGCAATTCTGATTGCTGGGCTTAGATTTCTAGGGTTTCCAACTGCAGCCACCTGACACCAAGCCTCACCCGAGACAGCAGTGGGGCGAGGGGCTCTGGTGAGGCCTCAGTCGGTGTCCTCTGAACAGCCTCTCTCTTTGTCCCTGTGCGAAGCAAATTCCTAGACTGCAAGGCTGAGTGTAGACTTTATTGGTGACCTGCACCCCAAGTCATTCCAAGTAACTGGCCTGTGAGA